TGCACTGTTTCTCTCATGACAATCTTTCTTGCCATTTTCTTTTCTTGAGTCCCAGTATTTGCTCCCTGCCCTCGGCCCTTCAGCCTGTCAGTGGTAACATGGCCGTTATTGCTTGGGCTTCGGAACTACTCCCATGTGGTCCACCTACATCTGTCCATATCTTTGTAGAGTCCTTTCATTGACCCCCTTCAAATGACCCAAATTTGAGTGTGCCATCTCTTTCCTGCTGGGCCCCTCACTGGCACAATCTTAGATTTCAGACAGATCCACAGAAATGCAAGGATTTCTGCCCGTTTTTGTTCTCTGCTCATTTTTGTTCTCTGCTCTAACCCCAGTGCCTAGAAAGCATCCAGCCCATAGGAGATGGTCAGTACATATTGAAAAGGTTCTTGAATGGATGAAAATAAACGGACACCCCTTCTCACACAGAATGTGTGTGCCTTTGTTTATTTGAATGAGAAAAGGATACCGTGCTCTTCATTGTGGGAAAGGGTAAAATAATTCAGAGGGACACTATCTCTGACTTAGAGATTCTTTTTTTCTTTTTTAAATTGTGGTAAAACAACATAAAATTTACCAGTCTAACCATTTTTAGGCCTACCGTTCAGTGGCCTTAAATATATTCACATTGCCATACACTGTCACTGGCGTCCAGCTCCATAACTTTTTCATCTTCTCAGCCTGAAACCCTGAACCCACTAAACACTAACTCCCCATCCCCCAGCCTTTGGTAACCACCATTCTACTTTCTGTTTCGATGAATTTGACTGTTCTAAGGACATAATGTAAGTGGAATCATATAGTATTTGTCTTTTTGTGACTAGCTTATTTCACTTATAATATCCTCAAATTTATTCATGTTGTAGCATGTGTCAGAATTTCCTTCTTTTTCAAGGCTGAATAATACTCCATTAATGTACAGGCTACAATTTGTTTATCCATTCACCTGTTGATGGGCACTTGGGTTGCTTCTACCTTTTGGTTATTGTGAATGATGCTGCTATGAACATGGGTCTGTGTGTGTGTGTGTGTGTGTGTGTGTGTGTGTGTACACACACATACATATATCTGTTTGAGTTTCTGCTTTCAGTTGTTTTGGGTGTATGCCCACAAATGGAATTGCTGGATTGTATCGTAATCTTATTTTTAACTTTTTGAGGAGCCTCCATGCTGCTTTCCACTGTGGCTCCACCATTGTGCATCCCACCAGCAAGGCATAAGCACTCCACTTTCTCCGTATCCTTCCCCAAACTTGCTATTTTTTCTTATAGTAGCCATCCTGATTAGGCATTTTCCTAATCTTTCCTAATCATTAGTGATGCTGAGCATCTTTTCATATGCTTAGTTGGCCATTTGTATATCTTTTTTCAAGAAATGTCTATTCTAGTCCTTTGCCCATTTTTTAAATCAGTCGTTTGTTGCGGTTGAGCTGTAGGAGTTCTTCGTACATTCTGGATATTAATTTCCTGTTAAATACCTGCTTTGCAAATATTTCCCATTGGTCTTTTCACTCTGTCGATAGTGTCCTTTGGTGCATAAAAGGTTTTGATTTTGATGAAGACCAACCTATCTGTTTTTTCTTTTGTTTCTCGTGCCATATCTTTGGGGCATCATTACAATGTGGAGGTACAACAACTTTTCTCCACAAGCACCTCACTCCTCTGTGGCCCCCTCCTAGCACCCTTGATCCACTAGGAGAGCCTATGGGACACAGTGTTGTAATAATTCTCCCTACCAGGCTGTGAACTGCCTAATGGCAGGAAGTTTCTGTCATCCTAGAGCTTTGCAATGTACTTCACAGCACAGAGTGGGGACTGAAAAAATGTGGGATAAGTAAATAAAGGGATCACTGAATGAATGGCTCTAGGAAAGAGAAAAGATGGCCTCTCCACAGGGCTGCAAAGCCTGAGACCTGACAGTTTTCAAAAGCTCTTTATTTTTTTCTTTTCCTCTCATCCTGGGAGGATGCTTCTCAGTGAGACTGGATTTTATATAATTGTTTGCAGCATAACAATACTGTTCTATAGCTCTAAGGCAGCGGCCTGATTTTCCTCCTTCTTTAATGAAAGGAACATGTCTTCTGTGGAAAATCAGTGATTTATCGAGTGACCAAAGACTTTCTGTTCCTAATAGAAACTGGTATAGACAAGTGACTTGCTGAAGGTGAGGAGAGAAGGTGACCACCTACTTCTGAACAGGAAATTCATTTCATTGCCCTGGCGTGTTCTTGCTAATTTGGAGCCGAGTTTCATCTTGCGGTTCCCCCTCGGATGGACAGCCATCTTCAGGACATCCAGTCCAAACACTTGGTTAATGAACTTTGTGCATGTAACTCTCCCATGAGCCCCAAAGCTCTTGGAACACAAATTCAATATAAAATCAAAATTGGAAGCATTCCTTCCATAATAAAAGAAAATCTACTGACTGAAGCGTGAATAGTTGTTGATGATGATCTTTTCCTGTTTTTCATTCCTTTTAGGACAGCCGGTGTCACTATCAAATAAAGGGCTCAGGCACCAAAGCTAAGGAAGAGTAATAGGAGAAAAACATGAGATTAGGAAAATTCTGTCCATTAACTCTTCATGCAAATTGAGAAAAGACTGCGATTATCAATAGTTATTTGATTTTAGCTATGAAACATCCAGTAAAGTTAATAAGTCTTTCTCGCCCTGTTGGAGCAAATTTGAAGTCATGGCATTCTAGAAAGAGCAGGGCCTGAATCTGCCCTCCCCTTCTCTCTGTATGATCTGGCACAAGTTACGTAACCAGTCTTAACCTCTACCTGCTCATCTGTAAAAGAGGAGGGGTATAATGACAAAATGCCTTACAGAGCTGCTGTAAGAGTAAATGAAATAGCACTTCTAATGCATGTAGCGTATATTCAACAAATAACTCCTTACCTCCCCCTCCCTCTCCCTGTAGGTGGAACTTTTCATGGATATAGTATTTACAGGTGGAGTTATTGTCAGGCAATTACTAATTTAATAACAGACTAGTGGCAGACCAGATGACCAAAGCTCCGTGGACAGAAAAATGAGTTTTTTAGAAGACATCATCTCTTTCATCCACTTATTCCTTTGTCAAACATTTGTGTGAGCCTTGAGAGAGGAGCCAATGGTAATGAAGGATTCAATGCTGGGCTTGGCCCTAGAAGCTCAGCCTGATTTACAAGTTGCTTTTTCTTTCATGCCTTATTTCTGAATTGACCTCAGACATCTGAGTTGGCTTGAGTGAACTGTCGTGCCCACATTGGTCAACGTCTGAGTTCTCCACATTACTGTAAGCACCAAAGATGGGCTCTGCATTTCATTCAGGGCTGCATCTCAGTGCTCAGCTTGCCACCAAGAGAGCCTGCAACAGCCACAACTGACCACTGACCCACATCTAATAAATAACATTTTTTTTGCCTCCTCTACTTCAATATAATTTCCTCTTTCTCAAGTCCCAAATCAGACAAGCAACTGAGGCAGGACCTGGAATGTTTGGTATCTTGTTTTTTTTTTTTTTTTTCTTTCTTTCTTTCATTTTATTGAGGCCGGAAGTGAACGGAGTGGTTTCCACTCGCACGAAAGAGCAAAGGGAAATGGCAACATATTTGGGAAGAATTTTGCAGAGTTAAAGGATTTATAAGAAATTGTAAACGGATTGCACTGTGCAGCCCAAAGGTGAGTGACGATAATCGGAATCCTGTTCACTGAAGAGATATGAAGCACTTTCTTATTTTTTATCACAAATTTCTCTCTTTTTGTTCCCTGTGGAGAAATCTGTCTCCACAGATATTTATAGTTCAGACTTCCAGAGGGCAGAAGGCTCCTATCCTTGCTGCTTGGAAGTTTTCTTCTGCTGACAGAACAGAATAGAGGCGCTGATGCTGTGCAGACAGCTCATGTTAAGAGGGCAGACGGCCCACCCACCTGTCACTGCCAGGCCCTGAGCTGCCCGGGCTTCATTTTGGAAAAACAAATTCTCAGCAGAGACATTTTCATGGGCTGTTCTCCTCATTTTTAAAGACACTTGGCAGCCAAAATTAGTGTCTTTTCAAAAAAAAAAAAAATGTTGTCTCCAGTATTTAAAATATAGAATTCAACTGAATAAATAATAAAGATCATACTGACTTTATTCAGGATTCATGAACCAGGCAGCATTCTGGCTAGCAGATGGGAAGGAGGTCTGAGGAGCTGTACAGCATAGAAGACTTTTATGAGCAGAAGGGAGCAGGACAAGCACAAAATGGATTAGTAGTGGCAAGGTCACGTTCCTTTAGGGGATGGCAGGGACCCATTAGGCAGAAGACCTCGCAGGTACTGCTCAGATGATTCTTGATTGACTAGTTTAAGATTTGATTTTGGGGAGAGGCAGAAACTAATCCCGGTTTAGTGATGTGGGCCTTAGCATAAGTGACTCCATTTTGGACCTGTTGTCTTATTTCTAACACCAGGTTGAAACTCGTCCCCCGACCTTGTGATTACCAGAGGTGGTCTACGCGGCACCGGGAAGCCCTCCTTCATCCTGTTGTCCTGTGTGTTTCTTCAGAACGAGTGATCCTGCACTCTTGCTTCCACCTTATCCATGTTGAAGTGACTGCTTTCTCAGCTTAGCCTTTTTCTCCTGAACCCATTCTGATCATGTATTGATACTTGCTGTGAACCAAGGCAGTGCTAGCCATGTGGAAACAGTAGTCATAAGTCAGAATTACCATCTCCTGGGAGCTCAGGCTCTAGAGGGAAAGACAGAAGGTGGCAAATGGACTCAGTTCTGAGTTGTGATTGAGATGTGTTGGAGTACTCCGGGAGGCAAGGATAGAGCCCTAGACACTTGTGCGGGTGATGGCGTGGGGGTGGTCATAGAAAGTGCTAGCCTAAAAAATAAAAGGCCTTTTGAAGTGAGAGGCAACAAGTGTTTATTGAGATCAATAAGAATAGCTATTTGGGAAGCACTGATTCAGGCAGAAGCCTGATTAAGAGACAAAGACAAACGGTATTTATGAGAAAGGGAAGGGGAACAATTACATCAACAGAAGGAAGACATTTCTTTTCTATTGGTGCAGATAAAATAGCAGAGTGATGTTAATTCTAAACAAGGTTCTTAATTTTTAGTCCAGTAGCCAGCAGTCCACTGGTCATCGGTCTAGTAGTCATAATAACTGCTTCCTCGTTATCTTTGCAAACAGTCTTTGGGACACAGTATTGCCCTAGGCCCAGTCCAAAGGTTATTTTGCCCTGTTTCAACATTCTAAACGTTTGAGGCATATGTGCAAGACAGTTTCTTTGTCCTGGCAGTTCCGGCTCCATTTTAAAGTGGCTCCGTTTATACTATTGTGTTTAAAAACACGCACAGAGCCCAACAGAGTTATTGAGGGAGCTGAGAGATAGCAGGCAAGGAAAGAATATTTCGAGCAGGTTTGAGAACGTTTGCAAAGTTCGGGGCTGTGACAGGGCATGGCCTGGGGCAACAATGACCTTGGCAAGGCTGGAGGCCCAGATGAGTTTGGGGAGTGACAGGAGTTTAGATGGGAGAAGCCAGGGCTGAGGCATTGTAGCCTACAGGGCCTCACTTGAAGGGCGCCCCCAGTACATGACTGTGAAGGCAGTAGGGTTCATCCAGGATTTATTGCACACTTTTTTTCTTTTAGTTTTTTAAAAAAACATTTCCTATGGAAATGTTAAAACATATGCAAAAATAAAATAGTATAACAAATCTCCTCATACTCATTATCCAGGTTTGAGAGTCAACATAGAGCTAGTCTTGTCTCATTTATATTTTGCCACTGCTCCCTGCTTCACCCTTTGGGTTATTGTAAACAAAACCCCAGACATCCTGTCATTTTAGTTGATACTTAAGCATATATCTCTAAGAGAAAAAGAATCTTCTTAAACACACTTCAATAGTATTATAACCATTTAAAAGTTAACAATAACTCCAAACATCATCTAACATTCAGCTAGTTTTCAATTTTCCCCAGTTGGCTCCGAGATGTTTTTTAACAGTGGTGTGTTAGATACAAACCAGATCAACAGTTGCATTTTGTCGATAAGTTCTTAAGTCTTGTTAAATAGGTAACAGTTGCTCCTCTCTCCACTTGTCCCCTGGCACTTGTTGAAGATAACGGGTAATTTGTCCTGCATTCTGGTTTTGGTCATTGAGGGAACTAGGGTACTGGCTGGAATAATCTGGGAGTTTGGAGAGGGTGAAAAGGACCTGAGCACCAGGGGTTGGCAACAATCTGGCTGGAAAGGAGGCCGTGCTAAGGCTGAGGCAGTAAAGGTAGAAAGGAGGGACGTGTCTGAGAAATATTTAGAAGTGGAATTAGAGGTAGAGGGTGAGGGAGTCAGCCGGTGGTGCCCAGGTCTCTGGTTTAAGCAGCTTGGGATACGGGGTCATTAAACAGAGGGAGGAATCTAGATGTGGAGAGGGGAAAGGGCGATGTATTATTAGGATACAGATTTGGTGATTTAAACAAAGATCAAAACAAAATACGTACACACTAATGGGGTTCAGGACATGCTACCTCCAAAGGTAGCACTTTAACATATTGACAATTTCAAGAGGAAAAAAAATTGAAGAATGTCATGTACTAGAACGACATCTGACCTTCTCCTGAAGCAGGTCAAAACCTTCATGTGAGAGGTGCTCTCCCTACACTGGAGAAAGGAGTATTCTTAACTGGGAAGATAAAGGGACACAGAGGAATCTGAAGGAAAGGCCTGCTAAGTTTCCCCAGTTTATTATCTTTAGCTCATACTCTTCCTGTCATATCTTTTCACAACCTTCCACTCTTGATCAAAACTAGCATAAAAACACCCAGACGTACCCATTTCTTCCTTACGAAGCCTCCCGCATCATGTAAAACTTAGTGTAAGTGGTTCAGAACTAACATGGCAGTTCCATGGTTGGCACACAGGCTCCTCTGCCTTGTTCAGAGATCTGCACAGTCCCAGATGGCTGACCACCAAGTCTACTGGCCCCGGTGCAATGGAAGGAGAGTGCACCTCTTCCCTTTAAGGTCATGACCCACAAGTTCCTAGCATCCCTTTTGCTCACATCTTTTTGGCTAGATTTTAGTCACATGGCCATACCTTGCTGCAGGGAGAATGGGAAATGTCTTGTGCCCAGCTAAAACTCTGAGGCTCAGCTGCAAAAGGAAGGAAGGGAGCATAGGCGGGGTGAGGGCAGACTCTGCTGCAAAAGTTGCGGTTTGCTTTGAGGCATATTGAGTTTCAGTACCCATGGGTGAATTTCAGGGGAGAGACTTGCAACCCAGAAGAGAGGTCTCGGGGAACGTTGGTCTTAGGATTCGTGGTACCTGTTAGGAAGCCATAGGGAAGAACCCAACAGACCCATGATTTAGGAGGGAGAATATTGCATGTCATTTACAGGGTCAATTGGAAAGAGAGAGGCCGAAACCGGATTATTTAGAGCTATTATAATGATCTAGAAGATTTTGCAGGGGAAATAGTCACAGAACTTAGCTACTGGTTAGAAAGGATGGAAGAGGCAGAAGGAGGAGTAAAAGATGACTCAAGGTGACAAGTCTAAGTGCCAAATGACAAGTTAAGATGCCACTTAAAGAAAAAGCAGTCATAAGAGAGACATATCTCTGAGAGGGTAAATGGATAAGAGGCTGGGAAGTAAGAAGAACTTGGTTTTAGACATTTTAATGTGAGGTGCCAAGAGTCATCCAGGTGGCAATGGGATAGAGGGTGGTGAAGGGTCCAGGTTTGGTATCAGGGCTCAGAGTTCAAATCCAGGTTCCACCACTTCTAGGCAGTGTGACCTTGATCAGGTATATACCACCTCTGCACCTCGGTGTCCTCAAAAATAAAATAGTGATAATAAGAGGAATTGCATAAATACATGTAAAACATGCACACAGTAAATGCTTGATATAAGTTTGATTTTATTATTGCAAGGGATAATAGTAAGTTGTATAGCTGGCATCTGGAAATAGAAGCCAGAAGCCCTGATAAGGGATTAGAGGTGAAGATTTGGGGATTCTTGCAACAAGGCAGGAGTGTGTAAGATCCCAGAGGAGAAGCTGGACAGTGTAAGCACACACTTGGAGAACACGCATGTGTGGAGGGTGAGGCCTCTCCTGTCCCCACGGTCCCCACGCAGCTCTGATCTCTGCACCGCAGATATTGCTTTCACAGCTCTTACAAGCCTTGTCATTTTCTATTAGTGAGTGGATTTTTCCATTAAAATTCTGCTTCCCATTAGACTTTATGAGGGCAGACCCCATGCTGAATCTCAGCTCCAAAAGCAGAGCCCAGCGCAGAATAGTTTAAAGAAATGGGGTGGGGAAGGAAAGTTGGCTGTGGGGGGAGCCTAAACATATTTGTGCTGCTCAGAAGAGCACTTGATGGAGAAGAAGATGCTACAAAGAGAAAGGAAGGTCAAGTTTGACCTGGCTTCCTACGGCACCCCCGCTGTACCCTTAGGCTTATTAAAGAGCAAAACAGTTTTACCGGGAAAGAAGCCTTGAAATGCAGTCATCCAAGCAGATCTAATCACATAAGCGAGTGGAAAAGGAGCAGCCAGTGTTCGGAATGGCTAATCAAAAGCCGAAAGAACAAACGTATGTGGCTTTACTCAAGGTCTGCCACTCACCTGGATGCACATCCATGAAGCCTCAGGGGGACATCCAGCGACTCTGAGCACTTATTTATTTGCAAGAGACTGCCAAGTGTTTTATGAATATAATAAATGATTCCCAGGCAGAGAAATAATCTTGCCTCTCTTTCAAGAAGGAAGAAGGCACAGTCGGGCACTCCGTGTCTTCCCGCAAACAATTCGTCACTGTCAAGATGAATGCAGGAGCTCGTGTCAGAGTCGACTATGTGACTGTGAGTCTTTATGTCCTTCATAGAATGAGAGCAGGAAGGACCCTTGGAGACCATGGGCTCCCACGGCATGACTTCATCTTAGTGATGAGGAAACCAAGGCGTTAAGGGAACCAGCAGATCAGAGAATGAGCTTTTACTGAGCACCTGCTATGTGCCTGACATCGCACTGGCAGATTCCCATCTAGCCTTCATTTCAGCCTCACGAATATTTTCTGTAGCTTATTGGAAGCACTGACGTGTGTTATATATGTGACTTGCTCAGCCCCACAGTTGGTGGTAGAGATTTGACCCAAATCTAAGTCCATGCCTGTGTTATCAGTCGGGAGGGCAAGGTTTATGCTTTGGTAACAGCCCAATAGAGCGGCAAAGGATACTTATTGTTCATGCTCCATGTTCACCATGGATCGGCCGGGGCTATTCTCTTTTTCACCACCATGCGGGGATGAGTGCCCAGACTGAGGGAGGCTCCACTGCTAAGGGGAAGATGGGAGGAGTACAGTGACTCACACTGCCCTTAAAATCGGCCTTGAGGTGCACACTTCATAGTTCTCTGGCCAACACAAGTCGCTTGTCACACCCAACCTCAATGGAGCAGAGGAGGCAACCCTATGGTGTGGCTGGAGACCAGCAGGGGAATATCTGGTGGGCTCACCAATAACCATCGCCCATGCTCTTTCCACTGCCCCCCGCCCAGAGAGGCACCAAGAGGTTCCCTGGGTGGCGCAGCCCCTTCATGGCAGTCTCCCTCTGCCCCCGGGCACACCACGCTTCCTGCTTTCCCAGGCTGCCTCCCTCTCCCCCTGCCAGTCTAAAAAAAGAGCAAAAAAAATTATTCTGTTTTCTATGGCAATTTATATAAATATAAATATGTTGGCAAACATTTACAGACCCCAGACCAAAGAGATGGTATGAAAGAGAACTAAAATTACAGTCTATACGGTATTGTCAAACAATATTTGGGTTTCCCTAGATTTTTAATATTGGTGTTTACTTTCTGCATGATATATGACAACAGAGATTCTTTTCCAGTTTATTTTTTTTTCTTTTTCGAGCCTCCAAATTACATGTAAAACTTTTACATTATTTTAATTTCAAATTAATTTAAGGAAGTAAAGAGACTTCTGAAATAGCATTTTATAAATCTGTGTGTGTGTGTGTGTGTGTGTGTATTGTGATAGAAACATTTAAACATACACAAAAGCAGAGAGAATAGTATTGTGGTTGTTGAAAAATGTGCATGGGAGCCTGGGCAAAATGGTGTAGATGATGGAGGCTTTGTTCATCCTCTCTTGTGACCACATCAAAGTTGTGATGGAAACATGGAGCAAACAGCAAGTGAGTTACCTGGAGGAGTCTAGAGGAACAGAAGCCCTACAACTAAGGAAAGAAATAAGAAATCAACCTGCAATGGTAGGAGGCAGGAGAGGGCAAAGACACAAGGCTGCCCGGTCCCAAGGGGCTGAGTGGGACAGAGGCTGCAGCAGCTGCAGACACCTCTTAAAGGGCCTGTGTCTGGGAGCGGAGTTTCACGGTGACGGACTCACTCACTTGGAGCACCAGCACTGCGTGGGCTGCTCCAGGCACCAAGGACTTACAGGGGGAAACCGAGTTATTGGAGCGAGGACTGGAGGCAAGGCTCGCTCCGCTCCTGGGCTGAAGTGCCGGTGATATTCATTGTTCCTCTCTTGAGCCCTCCGTGCTCCCAGTGTGCGGACTCAGCTCTGCAATAGCTGAGGTATCATCAAATTGGATAACAGAGGTCATTCTGCCCAGAAGATTCCCTGAAACTCCGCCTCCCCCAGTTTGTGGCCCTACTCAAGCTACATCCAGTTGTGTCCTCAGGGAGTCCTCTGCCCCCTGCTGGGCAGCTCCAGGA